GGCTTAGGGTTGAGGGCGTCATCCCGGGTTTTGGGTTTGAGCTCTGTCGCCTTCAGCTCAAGGGTTGAGGGTTTAGGGTTTAGGGTTTAGGGTTTAGGGTTGAGGGTTGAGGGTTTAGGGTTGAGGGTGGAAGTTTCGGGATGTTGCCTTCAAGGTTCAAAAACCGAAGCTTCAGGAGGTAAGGCTCAAAAACCCTAAACCCTAAACCTTAACGTTTAGGGTTTAGGTTTCGGGCTCAAGCTTTGTGGTTGAAGACCCCAGGTTCCGAGCTCAAGGTGAAAATCTTTCGGGTATCAGAGTTTGAGCTTTGAAGGTTTAGGGTGCTGAGGGTTTAGGGTTGAGGGTTAAGGGTTTTGGGGTTCACGGTTTAGCGGAATTTATGGCAGCATACGGATGCGATTTATACGTCGGAGCTTCACGTTGCAGCGCAGTACCTAAGGGTGAGGGTTTTAGGGCTTAGGGTTTAAGGTGTAGGCTCGGGGTTAGGGTTTAAGGTTGAGGGTTTTAGGGTGTAGGGCTTGAGGTTAGGGTTTAGGGTCAAGGGTTTTGGGTTTAGGATTTAGCGTCAAGAGTTTAGGGTGTAAAGTTTAGGGTTTAGCGTGATGGACGAAACTGAAATCATCGCGCTTGGAGTGGGATGATCCGCTTCGGGGCTCGCTGAGGTTCGGGAGCTGTCATTCCGAGTTCCGGAATTTATGGCTCTGGCCCTAAACCCTAAACCCTAAACCCTAAACCCTAAACCCTAAACCCTAAACGCTAAACCCTAACCGGGTTTAGGGCTTAGGCTTTAAGGTCTAGGGGTCGAGGATGTTGGCTTCGGGTGTTTGAGCCATCGGCTCGTGAGCACACTTTTTGTACACATGCTTTGATATGGGTAGTTCTCTAAATTAGGGTCCCTTTTAGGGTCCTTTTTCTAAGGGTGCCGTACTATGTTGGGGACCTAGAAAGGGGACCCGAATTCGGAGGACTACCCATGTGTCTGGAAACGGTCTGGCAGGCCATCTCCACAGACGGCAGCTGCTCAACAGGCACACCAAAATAGGCCAGGAGGGACCTTTTGGCCCCGACGGTCAACGGCTTTTAAAGATTCATGGCTCAAGGTTTGAACCCTAAGGGTGTGGAGTTTTTGGGGTGGTTGGGGTGTTTAGGGTGTTTCGCTTTTCGGGATTAGGGTTCAGACGCTTCCTTACATGAAGGAAGCACCGAACGAGACAGACGCTGGTTTGGGCTCAGAGTTCAGTGACAGTGATTGGGGTTGGCCTTAAAGCAAAGCCCTGGGTGATAAAGCCCCTTCTCCTAGCAAGGATTGCACTGGGGATCCTAATGTTAAGATCAGTAAAGAAAGGGTGTAGTTGTTCATCATTTGCACCAAAAAACCCTCTTTCCGGGGGGGGGGGGGGGGG